TTGAAGTCTTCACTATAACAGTGAAACTGGGCTTTTAGTCTGTCAGTTTTCACTTCCTAGATTTTGATATCATAGTAGACATAACTTTATAAATGTTAAAAATATGAATTGCATGTAACCTAGAGTGTCCTAGCCTACAGTTTTCTGGAATCACAGGCATGTCTCTTCATACCTAGCATGCAGTTTTATTAATATGTGATAATACTGGACTTAGCGCCTGTTTTTAACTAAAGACGATTGATCTAATATTTAGCTTCCCCTTGCTCTTTTTTGCTTACTTTTACATGGAGTCTCTTTTTTTTTCCAGTCTGTTTGTGTTTGGGGAGCTAAAGTGAGACTCTTGAATAGATAGCATATACTTAAATCACGTTTTTAGGCATTTTGCCAATCTGTCTCCTGATTGGAGCATTTATTCAGTTGACATTTAGAGTAAGTATGTTTTATTATTGCTTTCTATATTCCTTAGAGCTTTTTTAGGTTCAATAGCACTGTCTTCTGTTTAGTTGATTTGGGGGGGGGAGTAACAGAAACCTCTAAAACTGTGTGTGTGTGTGTGTGTGTGTGTGTGTAGCTTTTAGGAGCTGATTCTCTCCTTCAAACATTCTGGCCCATAGCATTGAACTCAGGTCAATCAGGGTTGTGCAAATAAGCACCTCTACCCAAAGGCTGGCCTCAAGCTGAAAATTTTTCTGCCTTGGTCTCCTAAGTGTATAGGTATGTACCACTAGCCCAATTGAAGACTATTTTTCTTTGTATGAGTCTGAGTTCATTTTATCTGAAAAACATTTTTGGGAGAGCAAGTTTGGTAGTATGGAATTCACTTGCTTTTGTCATCTGGAAATGTCTTCATTTAGCTCCATTTTGAACAGCAGTTGGACAGGGTATAGCACTATTGGCCTATCAACAGGTTTTGTCTTATGAGTTGTGTGTTTGTGTGGTGTAGGTGTTGTATATGTGTGTGTGGTGTGTGTGTGTGTTAACACTTTGAATACATTGGTTCAGTGCCACCTTCCTCCATAACTATTTGTACATGTGCATGGTGGAAATTGAACCCAGAGCCTCACATGTACAACATACTTAACTACCACTGAGCCAGGCCTTCAAAGGTTTTTGTTGTGGTAGTGCTGGTTTTTTGTTTGTTTGTTTGTTTGTTTGTTTTTAAAGAGAAATTTACCTAGTATATTTTGTGAGTAAGGTTTGTGTATGTGGAGGCTGGAGGTTGATGTTTATGGTGAAGTCTTTAGTCACTGTCCACATTTTCTGAGACAGTGCTCATCTATTTACTTGCTGGCCAGTTCCAGTTGAGATCTAAGAATCTGCCTGGTTTTGCTTCTCTGTTGCTGAGCTTACAGACATAGGCCACTGTCTGGCTTTACATAAGTGCTGAGGATCCAGACTCAGTTCTTCCTAGTGTTTCACAGCAGATAATTTATCAACTGAGCTGTCTGTCTATCCCTAAGCCTAGTATCTTATAGTTCTTTTTTTTAAATATTAGTTATAGTTTATTTACTTTGTATCCTAGCTATAGCCCCACATTCCTTCCCAATCCCCCCCCATCTCCTCCCTGCCCCTCTCTAAGTCCACTGATGGGGGAGGTCCTCCTCCCCTTCCATCTGATCCTAGCTTATCAGGTTTCTTCAGGACTGGCTGCAATGTCCTCCTCTGTGGCCTAGCGAGGCTGCTCCTCCCTTGCAGGGGAGGGAGGTCTGCCATTGAGTTCATGTCAGAGACAGTCCCTATTTCCCTTACTAGGGCACCTACTTGGATGCTGAGCTGCCATGGGCTACATCCAAGCAGGGGTTCTAGGTTATATCCATGCGTGGTCCTTGGTTGGAGAAACAGTCTCAGATATATTTGGTCCTTGTGGAGCTCCTGTCCTTTCCAGGTCATACTGACTTTGTTTACTTTTATTTAATGTGTATGAATGGGAAGGTACACCCTCCACAGCACTCTGTGGATGTCAGAGGACAACTTGCACCTCTCTCTACCACATGGGCCTGAGGCATTTGACTCAGGTCATCAAGCACCTTGACCTACTGAGCTATCTCATGGGCCCAAGTCTTACTGAAAAGAATAGATGTGATGAGTTGCTTCTGTCATTGTACTGTGGCTCAGTATAGGTTGTCTTACTTTGAAATTTTTGTAGATGCATATATTTATATTTCATCAGATTTGAGTTTTTGGTTTTAGCCATTATTTTTTAATTAATTAATTAATTAATTATGTATACAGTGTTCTAACTGCATGTATGCTTGCCTGCCAGAGTAAGGCACCAGATCTCATTATAGATGGTTATGAGCCACTGTGTGGTTGCTGGGAATTAAATTCAGGGCCTCTGAAAGAGCAGCCAGTGCTCTTAACCTCTGAGCCATCTCTCCAGCCCCCTTTAGCCATTTTATTAACTATTCTCTATACTGTTTTTACTCTTCTTGTTCTGCGACTGCCACATTCTGGATGTGATTCATTTCATGCTTTCCCATGGGTCTCATAAGTTCTGTTTACTTTAGTATTCTTCCTTTCTTACTCAGACTTGATCACTTACAAATTCCTATCTTCAGACTTCTGCCTGCACAGTACACTTTTGAAACTTTTCATTTGTTGCTGTAATTTGCAGCTTCAGAATTTTTTTTGGACTTACCTCCTTACTGACATTCTCTTTACACCTCCATCATTTCCTTCCTTCTTTGCATCTTCTTTTAGGTCTTCCAGCATCTTTAAGACACTTGTTTTAAGCCAGGTATGGCACATAAACCCTTGCAACTCCTGGACATGGTATGCTGCAGCAGGTTTGCAAGTTCCAGGTCCAGTGAGGCTGTCTTTTGTTTGTTTGTTTGTTTAAGCTTTCTCTTAAGGCACTTGTTTTAGATTTTTTTTGTTTTTTTAGATTTTAGTAGGTCTGCCTTTGGTATTTTGATACTAGTCAGGAACCACTCTAGTGCTTTATTTTGCTCCTTTGGGTGGGCCAGAGTTGGCTGATTGTTTGTTGTTCAGTGTCTGTGTCAGATAACAGCCTGAGGTGTACACTTGAGGTCTTAGATCTTCTCAGCTGTGTTTTCCCACAGCATGCGCGTTCACTTCTAACTTACCTGTGTGTGCAGTTGGCTTCTTTAATAACCTTGTATCAAGGTTGTTTGTATTTTGAGACATGCTCTACCTGTGTGGTCAAGGCTGGCTTTGAACTAAATCCTCTAGCCTCAGCTTCCTGAATGCTAGCATTGCAGACATGTACCATCAGACCTGACTAATAATATCATGGATTTTATTGTCTGGCTCTCAAAAATAAGGAGGATAGGGGCTGGAGAGATGGCTCAGAGGTTCCTCCAGAGGTCCTGAGTTCAGTTCCTAGCACCCACATAATGGCTCTCAACCATCTAGAATGGGATCTGATGCCCTTGTCTGGCATGCATGCATGCATGTGGACAGGGCACTCATACATTGAAAAATCCATACATATATAAAAATAAAGAGAATGCTGATGAGGTAAAATGGACATTGGTCCTTTAAATTTCTTGTAAGTTACCAGTTGGAGAGGCAGTTGTTTGCATCAACAGGGAAAACAGGAAGTTTCAATAATGACCACCTATTTTTCAATAGCAAACCATGATCAGAGAACTGATCTGTGCTATGTGGAGGACAGGGTGCTTCATACACCCTTTGGCTTCTCCTTATGCATGCAGTCTCCTATAGGAACAGTTGGAGGATAACCCACCATGGAGTTAGAGGTTGACAGATCAGTAGCTACTGTTCCAAGTGCTGAAATTGATTCAAATTAACTTCAGTAGGCCAGATGTGTGGTGTGCATAGGCTCTGGGTTGATCTCAGCAAAATAAAATTTCAGGTCACAATCTGCCTCAACCTGGACATTGCCATCCTTCAGTTGACATCATAGTTCTAAAGTAGTACTACCAGACAAATGTCTGCCAGTTTAAGTCTAAACTGTCTAAGTGGGGAGAAAAGTTCCTGGTTCTTCATACCAGCTCACTGTGGTCTCTGCAGTTTTTGTCCTTTTGGGGAGGGAGACTGATTGGAACATTGATTCTCCTCTTAACTTCCTGCCAGTGTAGCAGTCATTTTCCACAAGTCTCCTAAGCCTTTATTACTACTTCTCTATGGCTATTTTGACAATATAAAAAAAGGTGTGGTTTTGGTTGGTTGGGTTTTTTTTTCCCCTTAATCCTCCCTGCAGTGCCTTTATTGAACTATGAACTGCTGTTTATGGTTAAGTGACCAGTGGCTTTCACAGAGAAACCACAAGTGTGTTGGGGTGTGTTCAGTTTTTATCTAAGAGTTTGATTTCGTTATGTGTACTTGCCTTAGCAGTTTCAAATAGATTGTAAACTCTTTGATTGCTAGAGCTGTAACTGTATATGATTCCTAGGTATTAGCTTATTGTTTTCTACACAGTATATTATACCATTGTTTGATTAACTTAAGGCAGGGATACTAAATGATTGATGTATGTGACAAATGGGCAATCATTTGTAATTTAATACATTTATTAATATATTGTGCTCCTACATAGTACATTAGTTCCTTTTTTTATTGCACACTGAAAATGATTGACAGTTGCTTAGATGCCTCTACTGTTATACTAAAGGGCAGTAAGTTAATACTGCATTGATCAAATTTAGTTTACTGACAGTGGATTTCATTACCTTAATTACAAGTGTTTCAGTTCCCCACAGATTTCTTAGAATAGCAGTGAGTGGAATGGTGGTGGAGACAGAAAAGGCCACTTGGAATATTCATCTCCTGCCATTTTCTTTCTCATTTTTCCTGTTAATTAATATGCTTACTGAGAAAACATCACATTTTTCCTAACCGGACATAAAATTCCCCTACTCATGCAATATATTTATCTAGTGTTTAATTAAGAACAGTAGGTTTTTTGAATGGTATCCATTCTTAAGTTCACCCTGCGTACTGAGTGATAATGGATCATTTTATATCAGCGTAAGCCAGGGGCGAATGCGTGTTTATTCATGACCCTGTCTTTCCAGTCCTAACAGGGGCTTTACAGAGATGCACTGTATGAGTGGCCACTCTAATTTTGTATCTTGTGTGTGCATCATACCATCAAGTGACATGCATCCTCATGGACTAATTGCCACTGGAGGAAATGACCACAATATATGCATTTTCTCATTGGACAGTCCGGCGCCACTTTATATTTTAAAAGGTCACAAAGATACTGGTAAGTATAACACAATGGTATTTTTGTATTTGGAGAAGTTTCACTACTTTGAATTACAATCCACCTTTGTTTTTCTCATGTTTTTTACCTATGTTTATTAATGGAAACCTTTTTGGACCATCTTAATTCTGTAAATTTTCTGTTATAAATTTCCTTGCAGATTTAAAGAAGGAAGGTTCATAATAGTTTTTCTTTTTGGTGCCAGGGATCAGATAGTTTTATGGATCTGATATCATTATTGAAAGGACAGTACTTCAAAATGTCTTAGCTCTGTTATAAAATGATGTGCTAAATCAGTGTGATTATGCATACTTATTGTTTTAAGGTTTATTTTCATTTTAATTATGTATCTGTGTCTATGTGGGCGTATGCACCTGTGTGCAGGTGTCCATGGAGATCAGAGAGAATTCTTCTGGAACTAGGGCTATATAAAGGTGGTTGTAAACCACTAGGTACTGGTGCTAGGAACCGCCATCAGGGCCCCTGCAGGAGCAGTGTGCATTCTAAGTAGCTGAGCCATCTCTCCAACCTCTGCACTTTACATAGTGTGTGTAGAAGTTTGGGACATGATCTTTCAACACTTAAACTTAATTCCTGTGAAGAATGTGATGTTTGTATATATGTAATATTTTAAATGCAGAATGATATAAATTTTAAAGTTTGTCTTTATTATGGTAAGTTTTAAATCTGTGTAAATTATTGAATTGGTATTTTATAGTAACTTATAAATAAATATGTATACACAAGAGTAAATACTATAAAAATCTCTGTGGGTTTACATAGCTTTAAGGATTATCAGTGGCTTATATTATTTAATTTTCTTTCTTTACCATGGCATTATTTTAAAAAGAAATTCTTGAAGGTTTTTTTCTTTCTGTATTTCAGTATGTAACTTTGCAAACTTTTTCTGTAAATGATTAGTTATTAAATGTTTTAGGCTAGCTGGGCAGTAGTGGTGTACACTTTTAATCCCAGCACTCAAAAGACAGAGGCAGGCAGATCTCTATGAGACCAGCCTGGTCTACAGAACGAGTCCAGGAAAGCCAAAGCTACACAGAGAAACCCTGTCTTGAAAAATGAAACAAAAAAGTTTTGGGCTTTTCAGGTTATATGACTGTCATAACTCCTCAACTCACTTCGAAGCATAAATCAGAATGTCTGTTTTTCAATAACTCTTTAGGGCTTCTCACTCGATAGGTTTTTAGCACTGATCTGTCTTAATTGCCAGACACTCGTGAACTCACTGTACATGTAGCATAAGTAGACCTTCAACCTGTCATCTTCCTGCATTAGGCTCCTGGGTAGCTGGGATTATAGACTTATACCACCATGTCCAACAAATAATCTTTATTAATGGACACTTCAAATGTGTATTTCATGTAGTTCTTAGATGTAGTTTTAACCGCCCCCCCCCCAATCATTTAAAAAGGTAAAATTGTTTGAATTTTGTGAGTTGTAAAAAAAACAAGTGGTTCATGTGCATTAACTTCCTGATTTTTTTTTTCACCAAACAATGAGAGAGAGAGAGACTGAGACCAACACCAGGAGGACAACCTTGGCTGTTGTTCAAGTGCTGTCCACCTCTTTTTCCTTTCCTCCCCTCCCCTCTCCTCCCCTCCCCTCCTCTCTCCTCTCCTCTCCTCATCTCTACAGGCACATGCTCACATGTGGCATACCCTCATCCAGGCGTATTCATATAAATAAGTTTAAGAATAAGTTAAAACCCAAAAAAACTAGGATTCTTATGGCTACACAGCTTATTAATGGCTCAGCTAGACATTGTCCCTAGACATTCTGGCACCAAAATTTGTATTCTTAATGTGTGTTCCCTTGCAGCTCCACTGACTAGAACTTTATTGGTTAAGAAACTGTCACTTCATTGATAGCCTGCAGGGCAGAGCCTTTCAGAGGTCCTCTGTGTCAGGCTCCTGACTTGTTCCCTCTTTTCGCCTTCTTCTGATGTCCATCCTCTTTGCCTTTCTGGATAGGGATTGAGCATTTTAGCAAGAGTCCTCCCTCTTGATTAGTTTCTTTAGGTGTACAGATTTTAGTAGGCTTATCCTATATTATATGTCTATATGAGGGAGTATATACCTGTGCGTCTGCAGACGCTGAGACTTATGGGTAACCTTTGGGCAGAGTGCATGAAATCTTATCTAAGAAGTGGGAAACAGTAAGATCTGGAGAGGACAGGAACTCCACAAGGACAGCAACAGAACCAAAAAATCTGAGCACAGGAGTCTTTCCTGAGACTGATACTCCAACCAAGGACCATGCATGGAGATAACCTAAGACCCCTGCACAGATGTAACCCTTGGCAGTTCAGTGTCCAAGTGGGTTCCATAGTAATAGGAACAGGGACTGTCTCTGACATGAACTGATTGGCCTGCTCTTTAATTGCCTCCCCCTGAGGGGTGAGCAGCCTTACCAGGCCACAGAAGAAGACAATGCAGCCACTCCTGACGAGACTTGATAGACTAGAATCAGAAAGAAGGAAATGAAGACCTCCCCATCAGTGGTCTTGGGGAGGGGCATGCATGCAGAGGGGGGAGGAAGGGGGAGGGATTGGGACGGGAGGAGGGAGAGAACCACAGGGGGGATACAAAGTGAATAAAGTGTAATTAATAAAGAATTTTTTAAAAAGTAAAAAAGAAAGAAACTGTCACTTCACAAATTTACTTAAAATTTTTAATACTTTAGAAGCTTGGTAGATTGCATTTGTTCACAAGAAAATGTAATAACAAATCATTTTCCCTTTAGTTTGTAGTCTTTCATCTGGAAAATTTGGGACATTACTTAGTGGCTCATGGGACACCACTGCTAAAGTCTGGCTGAACGACAAATGCATGATGACGTTACAGGTATTTCTGTTGGTTATATTAGATGATAAATGAAAGTGAAAGTTCTCTCTCATATTAAATTGATACCCATGTTGCTCACAGGGCCATGCAGCTGCAGTGTGGGCAGTGAAGATTTTACCTGAACAGGGCTTAATGTTGACTGGCTCAGCAGACAAGACAATTAAACTGTGGAAGGCCGGAAGATGTGAGAGGACTTTCTTAGGTAATGTCAGGGTTAACAACTTTTATAATGCATAACTACTTCTTACTTGCTCAATTGGTTAATGTTTTACCTTGAAAGTTTAGAAGCTGAAAAATGATAATTTAAAAAATTCAACATAATTGAGGCCATTTGGGTGAATCTAATTTCGTGTACGTTGTAATGCATGTAACTTTTGATATGGAGCTCAGGCGCTTTGATGCAGTGAAGTACCTGTTGTCTGATTATTTACTTACGTACTTTTAGCTTTGGTGATTTGAACCAATACCTTGTACTTTTAACCACAAGCCCTTCTACTGAACTACATCATTAGCCTCTCTACTGTTACACTGCTTTTTTTATTTGTATGCCATTAATTTTTTGGGTGTGGGTTTTTATTGAATTTCTTCTTTATTCCTTAACAATTTTTTGTAGTGGTACACTCCTTTAATCTCATTTTTCAGGAACAGCAGCAGATGGATCTCTGTCAATTGGAGGTCAAGCCTGCTCTAAAGTATCTTGAGAGTTTAGGAAATTATCTTGAGAAGATAGGAAAAAAAATGTAAAATAACTTCATATTGCTAAATGGACTGGTTACCAGAACACTTTCTACAGGAGAAAATAAATTTCTTTAACTTGAAAAATTAGCTTTTCCTACTGACTTTTAAGTTTTGTGCTATCAATAAACTGCATAGTGCTGTCAACCAAATGGCACATTTTATTGACTTATTTTCTTTATTAAATCCAGGGCATGAAGACTGTGTAAGAGGCTTGGCAATTTTGAGTGAAACAGAGTTTCTTTCCTGTGCAAATGATGCTAGTATTCGAAGGTGGCAGATTACTGGAGAATGTCTTGAAGTCTACTATGGACATACAAATTATATTTATAGTATATCTGTCTTTCCAAATTGTAGAGGTAAGATTACCTTATGCTATATGTTTAAATTTTTGCTGTTACATTCAATGTTTGAGAAATTCTGTTGTTTTTATATTATTTCAGAGTGGATGGCTGTATTATAGAAAGGCCTTTGAATATCTAAGGAGAGATTTTGTATAATTGCAAAGAATAGAGTATAAAATGTGAAATGAATAAAAACATGATTTTGAAGTTGTAACAAGTTACAAAGTTTAAAATTAATATTAAATTAGTTTACATACGAAGAAAGACATTTATGAACATGCTCAATTTTATTCAAACAATTCTTTTTCTATTTTTACTAATTTTAGATTTTGTGACAACCGCAGAAGACAGATCTCTGAGAATATGGAAACGTGGGGAATGTGCCCAGACAATCCGACTTCCAGCTCAGTCTGTGTGGTGCTGCTGCGTGCTGGGCAATGGTGACATTGTGGTTGGTGCGAGGTATTTATATTCTAGTCAGTACACCTTCTGTGTCTAGGAGGTTGGTAGGTACTTGTGTGCAGGAGTAAACCGTGGGAATTTCAGGGGAATTAGAGGATTGTTTGCACATTTTTTGTTGCCAAGTAAAATAGCAATAAATAGTAAAAACACCAAATGCCAAAGAAGTAGAAAAAAATAGAGATTTATATAGAAAAACTTTCTGGAGAAGTTGAATTGGCTTTTGAAAGTTGACTAAGAATAGAAATTAGAACTTCTGAGAAAAGAGGTGATGCAGGTTCCCTTTATGAAGTGAATACCCTGTGTTTAGATTAGGAATACTGGGTTGAGGTTGGAGTATAGTGAATGCTGAGGCTTACCTGTGGCTAAGATTCAAACTAGGCCTTTTTTGATTTGGTGCTTAAAGTTCAAAGGTTGTAGCTCTTGAGCTAGATATGATCAAATTTGAGTAGAATTTACAAATTATGCAGATTGGGTTCAACTAGAGGTAACACTGAAAGGAAAGCAAACTAGAAATGAATTGTACTAAGAGTATGTGCTTATAAAATACTGGCCTTACAACACAATGGATAAATGAATGAGAAAATTCAGAGACAAACAGAAGGATAAAGCTTCAAATTGTAGTTTGTGGTAATCCTGATTAATAAAAAAGAGGAAAGTGGAAGAATTAATCTGGTTCATAAAGAAGGTAATAGTTTGGATTAACACTTGTTAAATCTGAGTAGTATCTTGCCACACTGCCAGTGGGTCCTAGTCAAAGAACTGAGACTGAAGATTTTCACAGAACTTATTCTAATGAAGAAATGTAGACGAGAGACAGAAGTCTAGCAACTGAATCTTGTAAAATACTGTGGATATAGAAAGGTCACTAGGTTAAAACCACACAGGATTCCAGATGTCAAAATTCAGGGAGATGGAAGAGAGGCTTGAAATGTTAAGTGGTCGAAGAATGGAAAGATAGAACAGCATTTGGATTCATTTTGAAAGATGGTACTACCTGTTGTTGCTCTTACATTTTAGTAGAAAAATTTAGGGCAAAAAAATAAAGGAAATAAAGGGGTATCTGACCTAGGAAAAGATTATAAAGTTGACAGTGAGAGCAAGAAGGAAGAGGTGACAGCCCTGAGTGCAGTAGGTGTAGTAGACCTCTTATTTTTGGTTGAGGCAGGGATTCGTTTGTTGACAAATAGTGTATTTCACCAAGTTTGCTAACGTCAAAGGAAAATAAGCCAACTGAAAAAGTGAAGCTGACATTAGTAGAAAACTAAGAAATATATTGTTCTGTAGAAGTGAATAGAATTAATGCAATTTAAACTAGCTAACATGAGTCCCCCACTTCAAAATTAAAATTAAAAAACTATAGTCACAAAGCTAGAATATTTTCTTGAGAACATAGGTTGAAGACTACTATTTACTTAATCATGGAGCTGTATTTTTTTTCTTGAAGTTACTTGATGGTATTGAGCACCTGCTATTTGATAAGACTAGCTTGGATCTTTGAATGTTTTATAAAGTAAACTGGCCCAGTAATCCTTTTTTTTTTTTTTTTTGTTGTTGTTGTTGTTGTTGTTTTTCCTTGTTTTAGTTTTTTGTTACTGTTTTAAGATGTGGTATTGTTGTGAGACGTAGGCTATGATTATAAGTACATGCCCCAATATCCAGCCAACTCTTTTTGATAGTGTATGTTGCCTATGCAATAGTGATTTTAAAAAGTAAATGCTGTATTTCTAAATTATTACAGTAAATATTTAACATAGAATTGAAAATTGTGCTGCCATAGTGACACTTAACAGAGAGGCTGAGATATGTTTAAGGCTGGCCTTGGCTATACACTAATCTATACCTGTCTTGAAAAACCAAATGCTGGGATATAACTCAGTGGGAGAGCACCAGCCTGATGTACACATGGCTCTGGTGGCTAAAGTCACTGGCATTTAAAAAAAAAACTAATTATTGTTATAATAATGTATATTATAGCCAGCATAGTGTTCCACAGTATAATGTGATCTTTTTTCATATTCATGAATACAGATAAATTTTGCTTTATTCACATGAGAGAATGTTAATAAACTATGGCAATGACTTAAAGTTGGTTTGCTTTTCTTGCAGTGATGGTATTATTAGAGTGTTTACAGAATCAGAGGCTCGGACAGCAAGTGCTGAGGAAATCAAGGCTTTTGAGAGAGAGCTCTCTCAGGCAACTATCGATTCCAAAACTGGTGACTTAGGGGACATTAATGCTGAGCAGCTTCCTGGGAGGGAACATCTGAATGAACCAGGTAACTACTATAGTGTAATTGGGTAAAATGCCTGCAACACTTGCCTTTGGGAATACTAGGAGTAAGAAGGGAAAATGTTTTGCTAATGTTTTATTTGTTCTTAATGCCCATGTTCTTGCTTATCTTACTTTTTGAACGTGGAAGCATCCATTTAAAAATTGTTAAAATTTGTCTAAGTGTTTTTGGATTTTACTCTGCTAGTCAACCTTTGATTCTTAAAATATTTGTTTTAAGGTACTAGAGAAGGACAGACTCGTCTAATCCGAGATGGAGAGAGAGTTGAAGCTTATCAGTGGAGTATTAGTGACGGGAGGTGGATAAAAATTGGTGATGTTGTTGGCTCATCTGGTGCAAATCAGCAGACATCTGGAAAAGTTTTATATGAAGGGAAAGTATGTCAATTTCTGCTTTCTAATTATTTTAAACTACACAGAAAATTAGAAATTTCCTCTGCTAATAAAAATTTTCGTTATTTTGACATTTAAAATGTAAATCATAAGAAAATTATCTTCTGTTTTAAAATAGATTAAAAAATAAGTATATCTCTATATAAAATCTTTCCATGTAGAGGAAGCTGCATGTGCCAAATTAGCTATATCTATCTTTTAGAATTTCCTATACCAAACTGTTTCCAGCCATTTTGGATTATAAGTTTCTTTCATCTCATTCTTAATGCCTGTCTCTGTTAAACTTTTTAAGCCATGAGGGACTCAGCAGGACTGTGCTTATAAATGACAGTATGTCTTGGTGAGTAGGGCACCATAACAGCTGATAATTTATACCTTGAGATCCTCAATTTGGAAACCCTGTTTTGGCCCTAGCCTTGATGAGTAGATTATCATTATTTACCATCGCAACCATGGCCTGCCCCACTCCTAATGAAACACTGATTTTGCAGCACTTGCACTCTTTGTCTCCTTCTCTGCCAAAAAGAAAGCTTTACCATTGTATTTTGGAGAAAGTTTTTAAAGTTTCAATGGTTAGAATAAAAAAACATATGACATCTATGTTACATTATATATGCCTTCAACATATTTGAGCAGGTAAATTATCCATGCTTTATTTCTGTTTCTATTATAGGAATATGATTATGTTTTCTCAATTGATGTCAATGAAGGTGGACCATCATATAAATTACCATATAATGTTAGTGATGATCCCTGGCTAGCTGCATACAACTTCTTGCAGAAAAATGATTTGAATCCCATGTTTCTGGATCAGGTGGCTAAATTTATTATTGATAACACAAAAGGTCAGACACTGGGACTTGGGAATACCAGTTTTTCCGACCCATTTACAGGTGAGCCTGGATTTGTATTAAATCTTATGTACTAACATTAGAATTGGTGTGTGTGTGTGTGTGTGTGTGTGTGCTTGTTTTGATTTAGTGGAGATATTAAGCAATGTTTTGTATATGTGCAAGTCCATACTCTTGCCATCAGCCCTTGTTAATGTTTCTTGTTTTCTAATAATTATGTTACTTGTTTTAAAATGAAAGCTAAATTTGGATTTTACTTCACATTCTATTAGGTAAGCCTCAGAGTATACACTAAGTTAATATTTTATAGAAACAAAATAAATTTACTCTCAGGCTAGAGGGATGGCTCAGTGGTTAAGAGCACTGACTGCTCTTCTAGAGAACCTGGGTTGCATTCCTGCCACCAACATGGTGGCTTACAACCATCCAGTACCAGGACTGATGCCCTCCTCTAGTGTCCCTGTGCACCAGGCATGCATGTGGTATATATGCAGACAAAACGTCCATACACATAAAATAAAATTAAAAAATAAAAGTACTCTCTTTGAAATACAATTTTGTGTGGCTGGAAAGATGGGTCAGTGGTTGGGAATGCTTCCTGCTCTTGCAGAGGGCTCAACTTTGGTTCCCAGCACCTACATCAGGTGACTCACAACTGCATATAACTCCAGCTCCAGAGGACTGTGCAGGCACAGTGCACATGCACATACCTCATTATACACAGGTATATACATAATTAGCAGTAAATTTAAAAAATATATACGGGCCGGACAGATGGCTCAGTAAGTAAGAGCTCTTGCAGAGTAACCAGGTTCAGTTCCCAGCACCCACACAGCAGCTCACCCCGTCTGTAACTACAGTGCTTTCTTCTGATGTCCACAGATAGAGGGCACACATTTAGCATACATGCATGTATGCAAAGCACTCATACACCTAGAATAAAAATAAATAAATGTAAAAATCTTTAAATATACAAAAATAACCTCCCAGTAAATTAAATAAAAGTGATTATAAAATTTAAAATAAAGAAAAACGAAGCAAAACATACTTTATTTTTTATGATGATGAGCCTCAAATCTAGGGCTTCATCCATACCGCGCTTGTCCTGCATCACTGATCTATACTCCCGGACATTATCGTTTCTGTTTCTTTGATTTTTAAATAAAAAATTTTAATGGATATTTAAAAATGTATTTTGTGCATATGTTTGTTGACATGCATAACTATAACACATGTTGAGGACAGAAACAACGTTTGGGGGTTGGCTTTCTCCTACCATGTAGCTCCCAGGGATTAAACTCCAGTTATTAGGCTTGCTAGCAGGTGCCTTTACTCACTGTGATAAGAACCTGTGACCAAGGCAACTTATAAAAGAAATTTTATAAACATTATAATGTTTATTTAGGGCTTACAGTTCCATGGTTAAAATCCATGGCCATCATGGTAAAAAGAGATGGCGACAGGCAAGCATGGCATTGGAGCAGTAGTTGAAGGCTCAAATCTGAGACAACTACAAGGCAGAAAATTAACTGGGAACTACATGGGCTTTTTGAAACCTCAAAGCTGGCCCCTAGTGACACACCTCCAACAAGTCCACACCTCCTAATTGTTCCCAAACAGTCCCACCAGCTGGGGACTCAAATATATGAGCCTATAAATGTTTTTCTCTTTTAAACCACCACAGTGGTAAATAGAAATTATGGTCTTATATGAGGCTAAATTAGATAGATGTATATCAACTCTAGGACAGAGTTTGAACATGTGATTTGTATTCCATTACATGTTATTTATAATAAAAATGTCATTAATGGGATTAGTAGTTATTGCTGGAACATAAATTATAATCCAAGTAGTATTGCTATAAATATTGGGTCCAGAAAATTGAGGTATAGAGGAAGTAAAATATCTTGTATCCTCTTTAGACAAGGCTTCTCCTAAGTAAAATTTTAAAATAGATCCTTCAGTTATTATCTTCCTTTTGGGTACATGTATGTGTGTACCTGTGTGTGTTATAGTGGCAATTAGACTCAGGGAAGGCCTAGTGTGTTCTAGTCAGGCATTCTTCTGCAGTTTTTATTTCCCTTATTTTTTTCTGTGTTAGTGCTTTTCTTTGTTTTGTAAAAATCCGTGTCCCCTCCCTCTTTCAAATTCTTACAGGAAATCTGTCCCTATTCCTCACAAATACTGCATGTTCTTCATATTCTCTTCTCATTCTGGTGTAAGATTCTTTTTTTTTTTTTTTTTTAAGATTTATTTATTATTTATACAACATTCTGCCTGCACACCCGATTTTACTATAGATGGTTCTGAGCCACCATGTGGTTGCTGGGAATTGAACTCAGGACCTTTGGAAGAACAGCGAGTGTTCTTAACCTCTGAGCCATCCCTCCAGGCCCCTAGTGTAATATTCTATTGCCTATTTACATAGTTAACTAATCTCACCTACACATATCATGATCAAAACTTTCAAAATAATTTATTGGTATAAATGGCTTAACCCTCCAGATACTTACACTTAGGACAAAGGGAAGGGGTCGGGGAGACTGCATGATTAGTTTCACACCACAGGACAAAACACATTACAGTACTGTAAAAGCTAAACACCCAGCTCTGTGTAGATATTAGCAACTACTTGGCTTGTTTTGTTCTTTAAGACTCTAACTTTATAAGTGGTGTATGTGTATGCGCGCCAAAGGTATTAAACAATCATTTCACATACCACAGACATGTATATGCCAGTGTAGCTCTCGTCTTCTTTTTCTCCCCATCAAATAGAAGCGTCAGAGGTTACAGTTAATATCCCTCTAGATTCTAGCAATAAGTGTACTGTTTGACATATGAGCTAAGGAACCCAGGGCTTTTCCCAAAGATTAACATTTAATGTCTGTGGAATTACCACAGGAATCTAGTAAATCTCTAAAGAAAAAGGAGGGAATTGCATACACATTTATTGTTGCATCAAGGACTACCTGCAACTCTGGTGCCTTGATTTCAGTTATTTCCACATTTATGTGCTGGGGCTAAGATTTTCAAAAGGAGTTGGTTGGACACTACACTTAGGAGCTGGAAAGACAGCTCAGTAGTTAAGAGCACTTACTGGAGGACACAGCTTCTGCTCCCAGCACCCACATGGCAGCTCACAGCTGTTTGTAACTCTAGTTCCTGGGGCTCTAATGCTCTCCTCTGGCCTCAGTGAAAAATTTTTTCATATAGCATATTCTGATCATATTTTTTCCTTTTCCAACTCCACCCTAATCTTCCCTGCCTACAAAAATATACCCTTTCTTTCTCTTTATTTTTAGAATACAAATAGGCAAACACACACACACCAAAAAAACAATACAAGAATTCATATACACAAAACACGAAAACCCACAAAAACAGAAATTATAATACACAAACCAAACATCAGTAAGTCAAAAAACAAACAAAAAGTCCAAACAAAGCAAATTCAGAAAGACTGCAAAAATACACTTGACTATGTAGATGCTATTGACCATCTACTACTGGCCATGGGCTTGGCCTGAAGCGTGGTGAGACTCCATTGGAAAAAAGTTTCTCTGCAGCAGTAAGACAGTCAGCTCTCTGTCACATGACAGCTTTGCTCTTGTTCTTTTCTCTAAGCTTGGATTTCTTTAACATAAGCACGGTGCTGTTAAGAATCTGTTTCTGTTTACTTGAATTTTCCATTGTTTTGCATGCATAGGAGGTGGTCGCTATGTTCCAGGTACCTCAGGACCTTCCAACACAGTGCAGGCAACAGATCCTTTCACAGGTGGGTGTCGTTTTCATTCATATAACCTTGGCCCAAATATATAGCATTTTGTATTACATATGGCTTTATATTTTGGAGATATAATCCAATGATGGCTAATTCCCTTACCTGTATTTTCAATTTTGATAGATATTTAACTTCTAGTTTTTGCTTTTTTTCTGCAATATGTAGATTTTCTCCTGATTTTAAGAAGAGTGTTATCAGAACAATGTTTTCTCCAGTGGTTCTTCTTACCTGGAGATCAAAGTAGTTAGAAATAGAGGGTTTAATATAAGGTGACCATAGTACAAAACCTAGCTCTAATATATACTTGCTTTGAGAAATTGGCAACCTACTTAACTCATCTGGGCACTTTTTTTTTTTTTTATCTTTGAAATTAGGTAATAGGAAACTCTCCAACCAAGATACAGCACCACTGTTATGATTGGCAAGACTCTAGCATAAGGTGTAGGCAAAGAAAGAGCCGTGGGAGTCCTTCATGTTGATGGAGTAGTGCAATCAAGATGTCTGCTCACGCTTATTTTGACTAAGCATGAAAGGTGTCATTCTGCCCAGCTATCCAGAATTAGTGTTTCTGATATAAGTTATTAAGGGCCTTCTTGAAGTGTCTTTATAGGTGTTCTTAGTGCATTTACTTCCTGAGATAGACAAGCCACAGTTGAGTCAGCACTGCTGGGAAAAAACATTTCCAGAGTTGGACTTTAATGCTGCTAAAGAAAGTACTAGTTCAGAATGCGTCAATTTACTTTTTAAACACTGTTGTTGGTTCTTGAGGTAGAGTTCATGGACAATAAACCCAGTTTGGAGAAGAGTCACATCCTTTAATGGAATCCAGTGGCCTTCTAGACTGAGTACTGTGAGCTATGGAAATGAAAACCTCCGGCCCTTTTTCAGTCATAGATTGTTTGACTGTGTCATGAAACTTTGAATTTCTGTTGATGAGATTCCTTTCTCTAATGAATAAAGTGATCACAGATGCAAGTGGTTCCACCTTAGACACTGACAGCCAACTCTCAAGCTATATGCTCTGGCAGTATGATGTCTATTGTGGAATTCTTATGAGTACATGATTGATTTAAAATGGTATTAAGGACCTGAAGAGTTTATAAGTGACTTTTTCTTGACCAGTAGTTTTAAGAACAGTGATGCCTTGAAACTTAGCCTTGAAACTTTATAATCCTTTTCTTGGCCTTTTTTCTTTTCCTGAAGCAGAATAAAAATATCAAGCTTAAATATATGCTATGAAAATTAAAAGAACGTGGGTGGTGGGTGCATCATTACCAGGAGATGGGGCAAGGTGTCAGTGACTCAAAAGATGCAACAAGCATGTAGACATATCAATAGCCTACTAAATACTAAGATAATTAAGATATTATTAGGATCACTGACCTCCACACTTATAAAAAATAGATAACAAAATTATGCATGATGGTACAGATTTCCTAGCATTCAGGAGGTTGAGGACAACCTGAACATCATAGTAAGAAGGCCCTGCCTGTCTTAAGAAACAAAAACAAGAACAGATGGCAACATCTACCATGTGGAGATACGAAAGTGAAGTGGCATCATGTATATAAAGTCCTTTGTAAACTACCAGGAGTGCATTTAGGCCATCAGTGTCTATCAGCCAGTATTGCTTGCTACTCCTTCAACCTTACCAGTGATGCTGAGCTTAAAAGAGTTCCTCATGTGGCTTACAATTTAAGGTTCTTCTTAATTCTTTTCCTTATCAATTCATGTAGTGCTTGAACTTTTAATGTTTATGAGAGTGATTGGGGAGATTGTTTAAATTACTTATTTTGGCCCTCTACCCTCAGCAATTCTGACTCACTGTAGTGGGGAGCTTATGCCGTGATTCTTCACCAAAGGGTTTTCACTGAATAATATTGGGGAATACTGTGCTCTGAGGTGATTTTCATTCTTGTTTGTAAGATTTCGTATTTGTAAAGTGGAGTGAATTTAGAGTGGCACTAGCTTATCTTAAATAGGTGGGCACAGAGCTCACACAGACAGTGTAGGCGTTAGGCAAGTTAGTCAGCAAATTAGCCCTTCTTTTAAAATGTTGGGAGTTGTAATGGCATTCAAAGCCTTACTGTGAGTCTGTACTCATACTTAGCATTCTGGTTGGCATATAGTTAAAATCAACAAATCCACTTACCCTGGCATCATTTTTCTTATGTGTACTTGTGTTATTGTTTGGTTTTTGCTTTACCTTTTCTGTCTGTGATGCTTTAGTTGATGCTTTAGTTGTACCATCTAGATTATATGTAAGGTTAGGAGAGACGATAACTCATCTTCCTTCTTCCCTCAAGCTGATAGAGGGCTCTGAACATCACAAACTCCTGTTGACTCACTATATGTGTTTTTCATCTTTCTGTCTTTAGTGACACTGTCAAAAGTACAACCTGAAATATGACCAGGCTTTTGTCAGAACATCCCAGACTCTTGCTTAAGTCTGTCTGGTTGACTCATGTGCCAGTAGCTAGTCCTGTTCTTTTTCCTTAGAATAAGAGGTTCATATATTATCCCAGAAGCCTTTTTTATTTTCAATCTACTGATGTTTTATAATGCACTAGACTTCTATAAGTAGAAGGCACCTAAGGTTTATTTTGTCACTTATTGTTTTGTAAGTTATTTTTTATGTTCATGGGCTGTTTGCTGTAGTACGTGTATGTCTGTGCAGTATGCATTCAGTGCACTCACAAACCAAAGAGGAGGGAGCCACCATGTGGGTGCTGATAATTAGGCATCATATTGAACTTAGGTTCCCCGGAAGAGCACGCAGTACTCCTAACGACTGAGCCGCTCTCCAGCCCCAAGAATTACTTTTTAGCAAACATGTAGTGGACACTTCATGATAAGGAATGTACTTGTAAGCATTTTTCATATATGCTGCTATTTGAAGTATAACCTCTGGTGACCTTTTAGTATAAAGAAGCAATGTTTTAGGCTTTATGATCTGTACTTACCTTTGCTCACTAGGAGTATTATTGCATTGTAGGTGCTGGCCGTTACATGCCAGGTTCTGCAGGTGTGGGCAGCACCATGGCTGGAGTAGATCCGTTTACAGGTAGCTACTTTAACTTTCTTTTTTTTTTTTTTTTTTGTGAATTTTTTAAAGTTTATTTTATTTTTTTTTATTAATTACAGTTTAGACACTTTGTATCCCAGCTGTAGCCCCCCTACACCCTCCTCCTCTCACCCTCCCACGCTCTTCTCCTCTCATGCGCCTCTCCAAGTCCACTGATAGGGGAGGTCCTCCTCCCCTTCCATCTGACCGTAGTCTATCAGGTCTCATCAGGACTGGCTGCATTGTCTTCCTCTATGGCCTGGTAAGGCTGTTCCCCACTTAGGGGGAGGTAATCAAAGAGCAGGCCACTGAGTTCATGTCAGAGACAGTCCCTGTACCCATTACTAGGGAACCCATTTGGACTTTTCTTTCAAATATTTTGAGTTTCATTGAAACTTATCAGGCCTTAGGCCAGTTGCTGAGTTCTTGCCTAGTATGCATGCTGCATTGCCTTTGCTCCCCAGTGCTACAAAAGAAAATTTCGGTTTTGTTAATTTGAGAAGAATGGCCTTGCTGTGTAGCCTGTGCCTCCCAGGTGCTGGGACTAAAGGTTGTGCACAAGCATATGTAACAATAAAAAATAATTTTAATTGAAAAAATTTTAATTAGAAGTCATTTTATTCCACTGAATATTACTGAAACTTCAGTTTGTGCTAGTTTGTTTGTCCTAGGATCTCTCTATGTAGCCCTGGCTGTTCTTGAGCTTGCTATGTAGACCAGAGGAACCTAGAACTCCCAGAACTTTGCCAGCCTCTGCCTCTTGAGTGCTGGGATTAAAGGTGTGCACCACACTTGGCTGTTTTATACTATGTTAGTCATCAAATAACTGAGTTAACATGCATAATTTAGAAAGATGTCTGAGAAACTGATGACATTGAATACTCTGTCATTTGGAATGACACGAAAAAAGAGCATAGTATTATTTAAGATGAGCACGAACTTTCATTTTCTTTTTTTGAGACAGTTTCTCCGTGTAACCTTGGCCGTCCTGGACTCGGTTTGTAGACCAGGCTGGCCTTGAACTCACAGAGATCTGCCTGCCTCTACCTTCTGAGTATAGGGATTACAGGTGTATGCCACCATGCCTGACTTTCATAATTGTCTTGATCTTTAACCTTTTAAAATATTTTAGGTTGAATATTAAGAACAAAATTAGGAAATATGAGAATATAAGGTAGAAAGGCCCTTTTCTAAATTTTTACTTACATTTCTTGAACCAGAAATGTTAATTTTTACACTAATAAATACAGCAGTATATAGAAGTTTGTGGATGGTTTGTAGATGGCTTGCTGTCTTATTGCATGCCTTGAGTAGTTACATATCTCAGTAAGTGTGAGAACATACTCAACATAATTAGAAAAGTCTCATTTTGGGTATGCCTTATGATTTTCATGATTTCCTCTGTAAATAGGGAGTAGTGCCTACCGATCAGCTTCATCGAAAACAGTGAATATTTATTTCCCCAAAAAAGAAGCTCTTACCTTTGACCAAGCAAACCCTACACAAATATTAGGTAAGTCTATATTAAAGTTCTTTCTTGCGTGTTCAATGACCATTGGAGATGCTGTCCTTTGCCTGACATGGGCCAGGATTTGCTTCCTCAATGAATAGAGACTTCTACTGAGGTTGGTTGGTCTGTCTGTCTGTCTATCTCTTTCTTTACTTATTTGCATTTATTTTTTATTTTATGTACATTGGTGTTCTGTCTGCATGTATGTCTGTGTGAGGGTGTCGGGTGTTCTGAAAATGGGGTTACAGACAGTTGTGAGCTGCCACATGAGTGCTGGGAATTGAACCCAGATCCTCTGGAAAACAGCCAGTGCTCTTAACCATTGTTTCATCTCTCCAGCCTCCCTCAAGTTCCACTCCCAAGCTCTTTTGTTTGTTTGCTTGTTTGTTTGTTTGTTTGTGGGAGCGATGACAATAAGTGAGTAAATCATTTGAAAAATACAGACCATATTTGTTCTGTTATTTTAAAACAGGCTTTTACTGTGTAGCCCAGGCTTGTCTCCAAACCCTGATCTTTCTGCCTCAGCGTCCTGAGCATTAGCATTACAGGCATTGTACTGCCATGACTTACTTTACAGATCTTAGCTTTAAAAATATTACTGTCCTAAGCAAAATGAACTCAGTGGCTGTTTGGGGCGGGGGGGGGGGGGTGTCTTTGTTTCATAATGCTTTTTCAGGGCTTTAAAAAAAATTTTTTTTTCTAACCTTAGAAATTTTTTACATATGTATTATGGTTTCCAGATTTGTTTTTATGTGTTTGTGTTTGAATGTGTATGTGTTCCTGTTTCTTTTTTTTTTTTTTTTTTGAGATTTATTTATTTTATGTATGTGAGTGCTCTACTGCATGTACACCTGCATCCCAGAAGAGGGAATCAGTTCACTTAATAGATGGTTGCTGGGAATTGAACTCAGGACCTTTAGGAAGTGTAGACAGTGCTCTTAACCTCTGAGCCATGTCTTCAGCCCATGTCCCTGTTTCTAAATGTTTCTTGAACTTTTTCTTTGGCTCTTTTCTCTTCTCTTTGTTTGTTTTGGCCTATTGTGTTTTTATTTTATCTCGCTATTTTACATGCCTATTATTATTACTTTATTATTATGGATGCTTATTTGTTTCTTAATGAGAGAAAGAAAGGCTGTGGATTTGGATGGGTTGAAGAAATATGGAGGAGGAATGGCTCAGAGGTTAACAATACTGGCTGCTCTTCCTCAGGTCCTGAGTTCAATTCCCAGCAACCACATGGTGGCTCATAGCCAGCTATAATGAGGTCTGGTGCCCTCTGCTGGTATGCAGGCAGAACACTGTATATGTAATAAATAAATAAACCTTTTAAAAAAAAAAGTAGGGAGGATTTGGGAGCAGTTTGGAGAGGGGAAAACATAACAGAATATATTATAAAAATGTATTTTCAATTAAAATATTAGTGTCCCGAAGAGCCATTGTCATGTGTTTGCTGCCAAGCTTGAGGACCAGAGTTCAATTCTTGGGATCCACATGGAGGAAAGGGAATGGACTATCTGTCCTCAGATCGTCATACCTTTTCACAGTCAACAGTTTATTGTGAATCCTGCACCTTATATATGGAAACCCTAAAGCTTTTTAAAGGATTAATAAAAAATAGCCACTGTATAACCAGATACCATGGCATATGCCTATAATCCCAGCACTCTGGGAGAGAGAAGCAGGTGGATCTCTGTGAGGTCGAGGCCAGCCTGGTATACATAATGAGTCCAAGGACAGCCAAGGCTACACAGAGAAACCCTATCTTGGGGGGAAAAAAAGAAAAAGGAAAAAAAAAAAACCAGCAATAAAACATACTACAGGTATTTGTAACATTTGGGCAAGATGAGTACAAATTGAAGGCTTGCCTGAGTTGTGTATGGAGATTAGGAAAAAGGGAGTTAGGGGATCAGAGATGATAAGAAAGAGAAACAATACTGTTTACATAATTACTTTTCTGTTAGTTTTCCTCAAACTGAAGTGAAAAGGGAAAAATTTTGGACGATAACTTGCTTTATCCCTTTGCTACAACGCTGATGTTGAGAATTAATTGAGAGAACACTTACACATAAAGATAAGTTAAATATATTTTTCATTATTGTTCTTTTTATTATTCTTACAAATAGCATTGATAATGTAATATTTTGAACTAAAAAGTAGATGCACACTTAGACATTTGTTAATTCTTGTACAACTCTAAGAGATTTCTTGTTTTTTTACATTCCTTAAATTTTGTTTTCAATAATTTGCCAGTGTTAAAAACTAGTAGCAAATAAAAGTGAGATAGGTCCAAAATCCATTTGTGATTGTTAAAGATTTGTAAATTTGGGGCCAGCGAGATGGTTCAGCAGCTAACCTTGATGATACAAGTTTGATTCCTGGACTCTATGTGGTGAACAGAATAGATAAGTGCTTGTAGACTTCATTTTATGATCTTTGATAATTGCCAAGAAGAATGTTGCTGTACAGAAGACTCCTAAAAATGTTGTCTGAGTTAGAGAATTCTGAAAGCCTGGTTTTGGGTTCTAGGAAAACTGAAGGAACTAAATGGAACTGCTCCTGAGGAGAAGAAGCTAACTGAAGATGACCTGGTACTTCTTGAAAAGATACTGTCCTTGATCTGTAGTAACTCTTCAGAAAAACCAACAGCCCAGCAGCTTCACAGTTTGTGGAAAGCTATCAACTGGCCTGAAGGTAAATAAGTAATCTTCAGATTTTAACTAACAAGTTCTTATTTCTGCCAAAAGTACTGATATTTCTAAATTAATAAAAGTTAACCTGGATATTTCTTACTGAAATGATAGCCAGTTACACAGAAAGTCTTCACCACGTCACTGTAATTCATAGTCTTGCTTTGCTCACAGCCTATGAGAATCCAGTGGTGTATGTTTGATATTCTTTAACTTAATCTTAGGAACCAGGAATGTTTTAGAACTTAGAGGCTCTCAATGTTTGAAATGTTTTCATTGACAGTACTGATTGAACATCCTTAAAGTGAAAAATCAGAAATTTTTTTTTATTAGTTACTTTTTATTAACTCTGTCAGAAATTTCTTTAGATACCTAGTGCTAAAACATTTCAGATTTGAGATTTTAGGATTTGGAATTCTCAGCCTGTACTACAATAATCCCCATACACACAGCAATTTGTAAACTGTGTCATAGTGTCTGTTATCCCTTTCAGACAACGTGGCCTGTTAACTCCAGGTTACGAGCATCTACTATATTCTCCTTTTTATGTCATTATAATGTTTTTTGAAAACCAAAGTTCCTTTCATGATTTTGAAAAACTTTTGATGTTTATGGACATACTTGCAAGTATGTATGTGTACCACATGAGTGCTTGATGAATGTGAAGGTCAGGTAAGAGCAGCAAATCCCCAGGCACTGGAGTTAGGATAGTTGTGGGCCACCATGTGGGTCTTGGAAGTTGAACCTGGGTCATTGCAAGAGCAGTCAGTGCTCTAAATCACTGAGCCATCTTTCAAGCCTCTGATTTAGTTTTCATGACAGTAATTTATTGAAGGCATGATATTTTTTTTTCCTACAAAATAACCATATTAAAGATTTAACTGATTGCTTATTGTGTCCCCCTAATTGTATTACTCTTGAGTAGCAATTAGATTTTAGCTTATTGGTGGTGTTTTGCTCTGGTGTGTGTGAGGATATTCTATACATGATTATTGTTCTTATATTACAGAGCATAAAATGTCAGGTTTCCTTACAGTCACATTTAAGACTGTTCAGTAAATGTTCAGATGGCATCCGCATGGCCCCCAGTTACAAAACTCTACCAACTTACAGGGATCCTATCACTATTTGTTAACTGGAGTTCCTCTCAAACTTTTAACTCTTTAGCCTACTTACCAAATACTTAAAACTAAATTCTTGTTGCAATCAATCAACTCATTATTGATGGGTTAGCTGTGTCAGACTATTTGGCAATCTAGAGTTACCTCAATTTTGAAGTATATAGCAATAAATCTAGGCTATGTAAATATAAAAACATTTTTATATTATCTAAAAAAAATAATTGGTTTGTATTGGGAAAATAAGTATGAATAACAGCTACAAGGAATTTATTATACACATTAATCAGTATTTATTTTTAATAGACATTGTTTTTCCTGCACTTGACATTCTTCGGCTATCAATTAAACATCCCAGTGTAAATGAGAATTTCTGCAATGAAAAAGAAGGAGACCAGTTCAGCAACCATCTTATCAACCTTCTGAATCCCAAAGGAAAGCCAGCAAACCAGCTGCTTGCTCTTAGGACTTTTTGCAATTGCTTTGTTAGTCAGGCAGGACAAAAACTCATGATGTCCCAGAGGGAGTCACTGATGTCACATGCAATAGAACTGAAATCAGGGAGCAATAAGAACATTCATATTGCTCTGGCTACATTGACCTTGAACTATTCTGTTTGTTTCCATAAAGACCATAACATTGAAGGGAAAGCTCAATGCTTATCAGTAATTAGCACAATCTTGGAAGTTGTACAAGACCTAGAAGCCACTTTTAGACTACTTGTGGCTCTTGGGACACTTATCAGTGATGATTCAAATGCTATTCAATTAGCCAAGTCTTTAGGTGTTGATTCCCAAATTAAAAAGTATGCCTCCGTATCAGAGCCAGCTAAAGTAAGTGAATGCTGTAGACTTATCTTAAATTTGCTGTAGCAGTGAGGAATGGAAGCTGAGATTTTAAACTGATAAATGGGGGTAATTTTTTTTTTTTTTCACATTTTACATGACCGATTGCAGATGTTTTAAAGAAAACTGTGGATTAAGTTCAGATCTTGTAAAGTTGTGTTGAGGAGAAATAAATTATAAATAAAGGTTTTGCACTGATGGTTGTGAGATTTTCCTGTGTAATGGTGTAGATTTTCAAGGGTATAGAATCATTAAAACTATAATCAGTAAAAACAGCACAATTACAATGGTATTTTCTTCCTTACCTTAATTACTCAGGAGAACACAGAGGCTTTTATTTATATAACCTGCTTCTATCTCTGTATGACATCTTGTTTAGTTGACTGTTCTCTTTTATATTTTAGCTTTGCCACTTTCACTGTTGAATTCTTTCAATGGCACGGATATATTTCAAGGTCTTTTAGGATTTACTTGAAAAAAAATTAGAGTTGGCTATAAATTGTAAAAAATATACAATAATTGAAAAATATACAATAATTTCTTGAGCCATTTGTAAATAGAAAGTATCATATTTCATGGTTCATTTTTGCCTAAAGAAAGTAAATTAGTATATTACATTTCAATTCAGACAACTGAGGCCTTAAATGATTATGGGTTAGAATTTTCTTTCACTGTATGAGGTAACTTCATTTTTCATTCTTTTGATATCTGATTGTTTTTGGTTATTCTTCTTCACAAGTTAGATCATTTCTTTTGCCCTTCACCATTTGAAGTAATATAATTTTCATTTCAGTTTTGATATGATTGTATACTTTTTGATCATTACTTCAAAGAGAATTTGGATTTTTTTTTTTTTTTTTTTACTTTTACTAGGCAATTGTACAAAGAATATATATATCAGACTTTAAAGTCAAGAACCTATTGTGTGAAATTAGTATTTTTAGCCCGAAGAATGGTCCAGGCACCAAATTATATATATTGGCATTTAATTCTCAAATCAGCTTTCTTTGAAAGGTGAAAGCCGGGCACAGTGGCACATGCCTGTAATCCCAGTACTTGGGGAGGCAGAGGCAGGCGGATCTCTGTGAGTTTGAGGCCAGCCCGGTCTACAGAGGGAATCCAGACAGCCAGGGGTACACAGAGAAACCCTCTCTAGAAAAACAAAACAACAACAAAAAAGGTGGCAATTATTCTTCTGTTTTCAAAAGGAAAGTTAATAGAATAAGATTATAATTGGAGGGAAAAAGTGAAGGCAAGAGTATGCCATGCCTTCTGCACAAAGCACTTACCATGATGTAGCTTCCTAGAAAGTCACTGATTTGTTTCTGAATATCCTAGCAACTAAAGCAAAGGAGGAACTGTTCAGTGATTGAACAATTCATTATGTTTCTAACAATCACCTCCCCCCCCCTTTTTTTTTTTTTTTTTTGTTTCTCATGACAGGGCTACTCTGTGTAGCTCTGGATGTCCTGGAACTTACTCTGTAGACCAGGCTATCCTTGAACTCAGAAACCCACCTGCCTCTCTGCATTCTAGGATTAAAGCTACCACACCCAGCTTAATCTTTTTTTTTTTAATATTTATTTATTTTTATGTATATGAATGCTCTGTTTTCACACACACCAGAATAGGGAATCAGATTCCATTACAGATGGTCGTGAGCTACAATGTGGTTGCTGGGAATTGAACTCAGGACCTCTGGAAGAGCAGTCAGTGCTCTTAACCTCTGAGCCATCTCTCCAGCCCCCTCAATCTCTTCTCTTAAGAATTGCATTTCTCTTGGTTTATGTGTGTGCTTTTGGTTTTATATGTTTTGTGGTAATAGGGATCAAACTTAGGTTCATGTTGAGGAAGTTCTACTCACTGGATTACATTCCCAGCTCCAGTCCTTCTATTTTTATGAGGAAAGAAATGGATTTACAAGAACTTTGCCTAGAAGAGTGAGCAATGTTCTCAACATTGACATTATGGAGAACCATGGTTTCCTGACTTAATGCTATATTGTGTCTAAGAAGGACAAATTTCCTTCCAGTAAGGGGAAGAAGATTCTGACTGTTTAGATTAATCCAGGGAAGAACTTGTAAGAATATAAAAAAGGAGTGAGGAAATGTAAATAGGAGATGTGTACCTTACTAAGTACTAAAGTCCAACTTCTTGTTTCTAACTGAACTTTAAACCTTATGTTGCTGCTTCATTTATGTATGTACTCATGCTTTACTTTTGTTAAATTGGGATTTAAATTGTTATATCAAATTTAAATGGTAAAACAAATCATCCTGGTTCCATTACAATATGCTGCTTGTTAATACATCCAGTCTAGCATGGAATTTAAGTACAGTTTATGTCATTTTGAAAGCTGGGTGGTTCTCTTTGAGAAAAGATTGGATGTAGTCTTATTTAAAACATGAGTTCACTCTTCAGAATATAAGAGGTGGCAAATTGTGAATACCTTGTTTCTTATCACTGTCTTTTTTATAACAGCTTTGATTTGTACAGTTTAACCAAAAAAAATAATCTCACTTGAAGAACCTGTTTAATAGTGGTTTAAAGATTTTGTTTTTCATTAAACTTTTTTTATAGATCTCTTAATGTTTTCTTGAATATAAAAGAAATAAACATTCATTTAGTAAAACATCTCATTGACTGTAATCCTACTAAATAGAGAACCATTCTTAGCATCTTATACTGTATTGACATGTATGTAAACATGCATTTTATTTTATTTTTTCAAAAAAGAATGTATGGTGTGTACTGTTCAGAAACTTCATTTACTATTTCATCATATTAATATTATTGTTTTGATTACCAAGCAATTCTATTTAATGTACAACAACCTTACCATCAGTTTCCAAGTTCACATGTTTGGTGTTCAGTTCTTTCAGGGTTCTTGGACTGAGGAACTCAAATACTAATTATGTGTTGGCCAGAGAATGCTGTCCTTTATTTCCCAACATACCAGTTTGTTTCATTAAAGCAACAAGAGATACTGCTAGCAGGACCATAGCTGGAATATTTATAATCTATTTAGAGAAATGATATCTCTGAAACATTAAAGGTATTCTGTTGGTTGGAAGCAGGTTAATTAGGGGATTGGATAACTCAAGTACCAGGGGAAAAGTTGTGTAGGGCAGTTCTAGAATCTGCATATGACATCCTCATTTCATATTAACTGATACCTAGATTATGAGAGTTGGTTAGAGTGAGATTAAGCTATTGGCAGTGTTTTGTATATAATGTGTATCTGCTATTTTTACTTGGTTCTCTGATGTCTGAGACATCCTTCAGGAGTAACATAGTCTTCAGAATAAGTTAGTGCAAACTTAAAAAGCTGTCCTGATGAATAGATAACTCAGCATTTATCCTAGAACTGAGATGAGGTGCTTACTTAGGCTTGTGGTTTGTCTGTGAGCTGCAGTGATTGATTCTGATGCCGTGGCAGCTACCTATTCTGTGGAAAACTAGTTTAGAAAGAATGTTCTCCATAAAAGAATATTTAAAGACCTTGGCTCAGCTAGAAGGTACACGGAAGGGCTAGTTACCTCGACTATCCATTTACAAGGTACCTGGGGTCCTGAAACGTAAAGGTCAACTCAAGGGTCATGCCTTGAGGGAGCTAAGACCACAATCAGCAAGCTTGGCATGCAGGCCTCCTTGGTTACAAAGGACCAGGAAATCTCTCTTCAAAGCCTGAGCAGTGACTTTGTTCCCCTCCCCTTCCTAGGCATTGGAGGGTGGAGACAGGCAGATTCTGAGAGCTCCCTGGCTAGAAACAGTGAGGTTCTGGTTCAGTGGAAGACAGTAAGTTGGGGAATGATACAAGAAGACAACCAACATCTCTCTGGCCTCTACACATGGACATCTGGGCAACTGTACCACCTACATACACACAAGCACAGGGTGGGGGCAAGGGAGGGTTGGAGAGGGGAAGAGGAGGAAGAGAAAGGGGAAGGAAGACAAGATGAAAGATGTCAATCTAACTGGGTGACTACCCCTACCAACCCCTACCCAACTGATAACTCTCAAGGGCTTTCCAGAAAAACTGACAAGTTGTTTTAAAATGAATCTTCAAGCAACTGTGCTACCTAGCTTTTAATGTTAAGTTGACACAGGCTAGCCTCATTTGTGAAAAAGGAACCTCAGCTGAGAAAATGTCCCCACCAGATTGCTTGTAGGTCTCTCTCTCTCTCTCTCTCTCCTTCCCTTTTCTTTCTTCCTTCCTTTCTTTTGTGTTATTTGTTTGTTTATTATGCACGCAGTGTTCTGCCTACATGTATTCCTGCACACCAGAAGAGGGCACCAGATCTCATTATGAGCCATCATGTGGTTTTGAACTCCAGACCTCTAAAGACTGACTAGCTGTCTCTCCAGCCCAGGGGGGCATTTTCTTGATTAGTGATTGATGTGGGTGAGTCCATCCCACAGTGCTTGGGTAGGTGGTCCTATACGTTATAAGAAAGTAGTATAAGCAAGCCAGTAAGTAAGCAGTATAAGCAAGCTCTCCTCCGTGGCCTCTGCATCAACATCTACCTCCAGGTTCCTAACATGATTTCTCTCAGTGAAGGACTGTGGTGTGGAACTATAAGCTGAAACAAACCCTTTCCTCCTCCAGTTGCTTTTGGTTGAGTTTTATCATAGCAATAGAAACCGTATCTAAGAAAACAGCTAGTCAAAACAAGCTTTCTGACCAGATAAGATCCTTTGACAAGAAAAGGCACCCTCATGCCTTGAACATAATGAAAAGTTTTCTGTTATTGTAAACTTAAACTTAAAAAGGACTAGAAAATCCAAACATCAATGGGGGGAAGTTAGAACGGGAACAGGGTTTCCTGTTTTGCATGCAAGTAAAACACTTTAGAAAGTCTAAAGTATAGCAAACAGAAGAGAGACTTCAAGTATGTGACTGTCAACAAGTAGATGCAGTAGTTAAAAGTTGCTTCCCTGCTTGAGAGCTCCAGCAGCGACAGAGCGACTTGTAGACAGTTGAAGGATCATGGCTATTCTATTTACACACCTCATCCTGTAACGCTTACTATCATCCCATCAACATTACTCTGTCTGTAGGCCTGCCTGAGATGTAGGCCTTCTTTTATGTTTACCTAAACCTTTCTCTTGCCACTCTGTTTGTTACTCTTCTGTCATTACTTTCTGCAGAACCTTATCCTCATGTTTGTGTTGCCTTGACTTTGTTCTCCCACAAGAAAAACCACACCTATTGTTGATATTGTTTGCTTTATAAATCAAATGCATTTTTAAATTGTAGTAAAAACACAGCACAGACATTTGTCTCTTAATTGAAAATCATAAAAATATAAAAAAATAAATAGCCCACTTTAAGCCTATTACCAACTCAGCAAAGTAAACCGATTGCCTAACCCAGGTCCTGCCAAGTGGCAGAAAGTAATGTGTCTGGCCCAACATTTGAGGATGTTGTTGGAAAAAATAGTTTTCTGACCTCTTCAGGACAACCCACTTTTACACATATTTAAAGCAATTTAAAAACACAGCGAAAGCAATCACACACATTTGCTTGTTTCAGACTTAACATGTATCCCAGGTTCAACTTGAATTCATAGTCAGCAGACTCAGACTCTAAAGTGCCAGGATTACTGTGTATCATGACACTGGTGGAAGCACGAACTTCTTGAATTGCCCTTGCACAAGCAGGACCAGTGCAGAATATTGACAGAGCAGCTGACAATGAATTATGAATACTGAACGATAGAGAAACATTCTTTTTCTTGTCTGTATCTCACTATGTAGCCCAAGCTAGCCTCTAACTTCAAACCTGCTATGTCCCTGACTGCGTGCCCCTTGCCTTACCCACACACATACCAGTGCTGCTATTGCAGGCACATGCTACTGTTCTCAGATAGACCTTTACCAGAAGTTTATGGAACAGAACAGACCAACTCTCCTGTGGTACTAAAGCCTTTTTTGTTTGTTGTTTTTGAGACAGGGTTTCTGTGTATAACCTTGGCTGTCCTGGACTTACTTTATAGACCAGTCTGGCCTAGAACTCACAAAGATCCGCCTGCCTCTGCCTCCCCGCGTGTGCCACCCACCTGGCCCAGCCAACTTCCCTTCTTACAGCATGTTCATGTGTTAAATCTTTGGAACCACATAAATTGCTTTCTTATTAGGCTGGGGTCTTTCTTTCTCTCTTTCTTTCTTTCTTTCTTTCTTTCTTCCTTTCTTCCTTTCTTCCTTTCTTCCTTTCTTCCTTTCTTCCTTTCCTATTTATTTATTTATTTATTTATTTATTTATTTATTTATTTATTTATTTAATTTAGGTTTCTCAAGATAGGGTTTCTCTATGTATCCTTGGCTGTCCTGGATCTCACTGTGTAGACCAGGTTGGCCTCAAATTCAGAGATCTGCCTGCCTCTGCCTCTCAAGTTCTGGAATTAAAGATGTGAAGCACCACAGAAGGACTAGGCCCAGGTATTTCTGTGCCTCAGAGTCATGGCCCAAATGATAGTGGAAATACTATTAGAAAAGATTGTTCCCTTTTGGGTATGTCCTTCTGAATTTTTGTTTTCTGGGCCAGATAATTCAGTTTGTAACATACGGTGAACTCTCTTAAACTGCTGTGGTACTTACTTAGTTTTATAGATTGATTGGTGGAAGATACAATGAAATAACAAAGTCCCAATTGTTAACAGTGGTTTTTAACTTTTCCTGGCCAAAGGCTATTATGTTGATTTTGCTCAACCTTTGTTCCAATCCCGTTTGGAAAACATCAAGATTTCCTCCATTAAAATACTAACAAAGCACATGTGGAGGTCAGAGGACAATTTTGTAGAGACACTTCTCCCTCACCTTTAAGTGGGTTCTGTATTGAATATAGGGTGTCAGGTTGTATAATCTTTTCCTTTTGAACCATCTTGCTTACATAGAAACTTGTTTATCTATCTATCTGTCTGTCTGTCGTCTGTCTGTCTTACAGTGCTGGGGTTCAAGCCTGGGGCCTTATACATAGATGCTCAGAAAGTAGTCTTGCCATTGAATTATATACCTAGTCATCATAAATATTGTATATACTACTAGGGCAACATGTGATGTTTTCACACACGCATGCATTCATTGTAAAATATTTAAGTGAGGTAAAACATTTATCTCCTCAAACACTTATTATTTCTTTATGGAAAGAAAATAATCTAAATAATTTCTTGTAGAAATTACTTCTGGCCAGACATGGTGGAACATGCCTATAATCCCAGTACTCAGGGAGGCAGAGGCAGGCGGATCTCTGTGAGTTCGAGACCAGCCTGGTCTATAAAGCAAGTTCAGGACAGCCAAGGCTACACAGAGAAACCCTGTCTTGAAAAAACGAAAGAGAGAAAGGAAGGAGGGAGGGAGGGAGGGAGGGAGGGAGGAGGGAAGAAGGAAGGAAGGAAGGAAGGAGGGAAGGAAGGAAGGAAAAAAATCACTTCTGCTAAAGTGTTTTTGCTTCTGCAATTTTTTTAATATACTACTTCACCCCCCCCCCCACTCCTCCTGACCTCTGATAACCACCCATTATCAGCTCTTTAAGATTCTATGTGAGTGAGGTCATGCAGTCCTTGTCTTTCTGAATCTGGTGTATTCCACTTAACATAACCATCTTTAGTTCTATCTGTCTTAAGTCTCTTCTA